GGGTGGGAGCTGGGGGTCAGGGCATAGCCCACTGCGACACTTCTCCCTACCCCAACCAGCAGTTCTGCAGGGCCTCAAGTCACGTGTCCAGCACATTCCTGCAAGAGCACATACTTGGGGGCCTTATTTTGGGCCCAGATCAGGGAGCCCTGACAAGCTCCCCTTGTAAAATTCAGCTCACCAGCCATGGGCCTCCAGGTGTCGAAAGTCAATTTGGTCATCTTCCTCATGCACATCGTCCTACTGCTCCTGGGGCTTCCCCACCGTGCCCCAGGCGCCTAAGCCAAGAGCTACATCCCAGGGGCCTCTTTTCTTTTCATTTTTTTAAAAAAAAGTATATTTGTATTGATTTCAGAGAGGAAGGGAGAGGGAGAGAGAGCTAGAAACACCAATGATGAGAGAGAATCATTGATCGGCTGCCTCCTGCATGCCCCACACTAAGAATCGAGCCTGCAACCCAGGCATGTGCCCAGATCGGGAATTGAACTGTGACCGCCTGGTTCATAGTTTGATGCTTAACCACTGAGCCACACCAGCCGGGCCCAGTGGCCTCTTCCTAGTTCATCGCTCACTTCAGGCCTCTTCTCCATGCAGGGCCAGGGACCTGACCTGGTCTTCTTTCTCCCTGATTAGTGTCTGTCTGGAATCCTCTTCCTCGCTGTGTCTTCCCAGTTGCTACAGAGCAGAGGCCAGCCTTGAGCAGACTTCCCCACCCTCCGGCATGGCGTTGTGACGGGGGTGCGGGCTGCGGGCTGCGCACAGCCACATGGAGTGGGAGACGGGGACAGCCCTGGGTGCCTTACTTTCTGAGCCCCCTAAGCTGGTTATGGGGTGGGGTGCTTGCTCCTCCCAGCCCGACCCCGACCCTTTTTCTTTCCATCTCCGTTTCTTTACATTCTTACTCCATTCTGTGGCCTCTGCCTTCGCTAAGTGACGGTATAAAATTCTCACAGATGGTCAGGGAGGCCAGGAGCATGGGAGCGGTGAAGAAGGATAGGTGGGAGATTGGATGATGTCTGTTGAAGGGGGTAACAGATGGTTTGGGGAGCTGATGTGGGGGGAGGAAGAGGCGGGGGACCCTGATAGGCACCCATCAACTTCTGATCTGGAAACAGAGCCCCAAGAGGCAGCATCTCCTACCCAGACTCCTCCGTGTGTCAGGGGCAAAGATTGGGCCAGACTCTACTGGGGAGGTCCACTCAGGGGACCCCGAACTGGGGGGTTTATAGGTGAGGAAACTGAGGCATAGAAAGGTACATGTAAGCCTCCTCCCTGTGTCAGGGCGCCCACAGCCCTGCCCGCACAGTCAGCCTCCTCCCTGTGTCAGGGCACCCACAGCCCTGCCCGCACAGTCAGCCTCCTCCCTGTGTCAGGGCGCCCACATCCCTGCCCGCACAGTCAGCCTCCTCCCTGTGTCAGGGCGCCCACAGCCCTGCCCGCACAGTCAGCCTCCTCCCTGTCTTAGCCCCTGAGGCCCACGCCAGGTGCCTGGGAGGGAAGGGGAAGCCGTGCCAACTTTGTCTGGTTTTTCCAGCACCCATCCCAGAACACTCTGCCAAACCCGAGCCTCCAAATTCTTCCCAGCTGGATGGAGCCCAGGAGCGCTGTCCCTTTATTTATGTATTTATTTTTGTCCTTCCGCAGAAGTGAAATTGACCAGAAAGGCTTAGGCTAAGCCAGGCTGCACCACGGTGCGGGCATGCAGACCCTCTGCTGCCTGGCCCCCCACAGCTGTCACCACATCTGGAAGTCCACGATGCATAGTTCTTTCCTTTGGGGTGACCTTGCCACTGAGGGCTCCTCTTTGAAAGGCAGAAATCCCAGGAGCGTTTTGGGGGTAATAATCAGGAAATACTAAGCACAGGGACGGGGGTAGAGGGTGACACACAGAAGATAAAAGTGGGAAAGAGGAGAGGGGAGATGGGAGACCCTACAGATCACCTTGCCTGTAGCGCTAAGGACAACAGTCATTATAGGAAGGGAATCCTATATAATAAAAGGGTAATATGCAAACTGACCCTAACAGCAGAACAACTGGGAATGACTGGTCACTATGACACACACTGACCACCAGGGGGCAGATGCTCAATGCAGGAGCTGCCCCCTGGTGGTCACTGGGCTCCCACAGGGGGAGCTCTGCTCAGCCACAAGCCAGGTTGACGGCTGCCAGTACAGTGGTGGTGGTGGGAACCTCTCCCGCCTCCTCAGCAGTGCTAAGGATGTCCAACTGCAGCTTAGGCCTGCTCCCCACTGGCAAGTGCACATCCCCCGAGGGGCTCCCGGGCTGCCAGAGGGATGTCTGACTGCCAGCTTAGGCCCAATCCCCCGGGGAGCGGGCCTAAGCCAGCAGGTGGTCATCCCCCGAGGGGTCCCAGACTGCGAGAGGGCACAGGCTGGGCTGAGGGACCCCTCCCCCCGCCCGAGTGCACAAATTTTTGTGCACTGGGCCTCTAGTATGTACATAATTACCTACCTGAGTCACTATGGCATTTATTACAGTCTAACAGCTGGGGGCGAGGACAGGACTATACAGCATGGCAGACTTGGGAAGAAAGCTCAGGAGAGCCACCCAACCCTGCGTGACCTGCCCGCAGCCCAGAAGGGAGGATCCCTCCGTCCAGCATGGCCCATCAGTGCTGGGGCCCCAAAGTCACACTGGACGGGGTGAGTCCCAGCTCCTCCACCAGCACCTGGAAGTGGCGACTCAGTTTCCTCATCTGTAAAGGGGACAATGACAGCAGCCACCCTAAGGGTTTGAGGGTGAAGATTAAAGGCAGTAAGATGCCTGGCACACAGCCCCCAGTAGTGCTTGGCCACGGGCATCGCCTGTGGAGGTCCAAGCCAAGTCTCACCCCTCCGCGGAAGCGCCTCCGACTTCCACTCTGAGCCCTTGGAGCCCTCGCCATCTGGCCCACACAGCTTATCGCCTCATTATATACAGTCTTGAAACAATTAGGGAACAATTCAACACAGCATAATGAAGCGCTGAACTGAAGTCCATCCACCTCCTTCCTGCTCTGAAATACGACTGCTCCAAACCCCATATTGTGCAGTGCACGCTAGACACACACACAGATGGATCTCAGCTGAGAGGACTCCGGCCCAAGTACTCAACCCTCAGCTTGGGGCCTGCTCTTCCCTCCTGTGGCCGTGCTACCCTCCCACTGGGGAGCCCCTGGACCCCAACTTGAAGCCCAGCTGCACAGGGAGAATGCTGCCCAAGAGCAGGTAGCTTAGGTGAGTGGCAGCGTGGCCAGCTCTGCTCCAGAATCCAGAGGGAAGTGCCCCTGAGGCTGCCTTTGCACACCACCCCCTGCCATCCTACCCCAGGCCAGGGTGCCTCAGGCTGTGCAGAGCCTGGGAGAAGCAGCCGATGAGGCCAGCCAGCGAGGCCACTTGTGGGCTGGTCTGAAGTTAGAGGGGCCACAAGACCCTGCGTGCACGGGGTCCGGCCCGGCTCTCCGGGGCGGGGGGCTCCGTGGGGTTAGAGGGATGCCTGAGCAAATGCAGAAGGGTTTATGCAAACTGGCAGAGAGTTCTCCGTGTGGGCAATGACAGAAATAGCCCTCTGCGCAGACACATCGCACAGAACGTCGAGTTAAAGGGGCTAACAGGGAAGGCTTCAGGGAGGAGGTGGGGCAGGAGGCGGAAACTGGAGGGAGGACAGGACTTGGATGAGGAGCAAGGTGCAGGTGGCAGACGCTGGCAGTGGGAAAAGCTGGAAACAGCCCTTGTGCAGTGGTCTCAGGGCGGCTGCCCAAACCGGCCCCCAGGAGCCAGTCCCGTCTTGCTCAGTGGATTAGCACTTTCCACGGAAATCTCTCCATGAGCTCTGAACCTTCCCTGGCAGGCAAACACTTGCTGACATGCCGAGACCACCCCCCTATCTGCATGGGCAGGTCTCACAGCGAAGGGCCGACATTGGAGCCTCAACATTTGGAAGGGACAACTCTAGACTCCTCACTCTCGCTGGTGACATCCCAGGGGCCAGAGCTCCCAGCACACACCTGCGGAAAGAACTGAGCTCCTGAAAGGCCCTGATCTCAGTTCACGGCCTGCAGGCCTGTCTGTGGACACCTCCCCGACGGAGTGTTTATATTACAGCCATATCTTTTATTTTCCAAAGCACTGGACAAAATCGTCCATACTGGGGGTCCCTGAAGAACATACTACTTCTCTGCAGGGGCGGTTTAATGTTTTGGTGTCAGTATTAACAGCAGCAGACACTCAGGCCTCTTTCCCAGGGAAACAGACTGAGAGTCAGCCGGTACTTAGAGATGCAAAAATGAAGGAACAACACAATTTAATCAGCCCCTGGAAACCCTCGGCTGGCAGGTTCCAGCCACACCCAGCTCCAAGCAGAGCGTGCATCCTGCCTGAGAATATTCTGTTTTCTCTCATTCAACAAATAATTACTGCACTCCCACTGCTGAGCATGCAGACTGCCCTGAATCACTGATTTTAGCTCCAAACACCACAGCAGATCGAGAAGAAATAACCACGTGATGGTGTGAATGTCAAATCTCAGTTGCAGTCTTGATGGCAACAGTCCTTCCCCGGCCAGGGTCACCCTCACGGGTGGGTGGAGCCGTCGGGACCGCCTTCACAGTGGGATTGCAGAGGAGCAGGGAGCCCAGCTGCCACCCACCCCTGCTGCCACCCCCACACACCTGGACACACTTGCAGGCTGATACTCAAAATCCCTGCAGCAGCTATGGACCGAGGCCCCACCTCAAATGGAGGCTTGAGACCCAGGCTGCCTCCCAGCCCACCCCCAGCAGAAGGGGGCCAGTGAGTCCCTACTTGGTTTGGTTGGGTCCTAGGCCTCACCCCTCATGTCAAAGGACACAAGTCAGGATCCCAAGATGCAGTGAGCTTTGGGCCACTGCGACAAGCTGGCTTCTTCCCCGAGGGCCGCTCTGGGGGTGAGCCACGGGGTGGGGGCTGCAGGGTCACCCCGACAGGCTTCCCCCTCCCTGGTTATTCGCCCGGGGCTGTACCTGGAGCTGGAGTCACTGCCGCCGGGTGACTCTGGGTCGTCCGTGGCATTAAAGAGCCCCGTCCAATTGTCCAGCTGGTCGCCACTCTGCCAACCAAACTGGAGGCCTCTGGCAAGAGAACGAGGCAGTCGGTACTCACGCTCAGGTGCTGGGTTAAGCCTGTCTACCAGAGAGCCACGTGCTGTCGTGTGTCCAGTGGCACATCGCCTCGATCACACACTCCGTGGGGACGAGGGTGATGTCCAACCGTGGGGACAACGATAATAAACCTTTACAGGGGTCTCTGCTAGACTGCATCCCCTCGTCGCACCTTTACCGGCAGAGCTGAGGTTCCCCATTGCACACACAGGGAAACTGAGGCTCAGCCAGGTCCAGGTCACGGTGCCCTCCTGCCTCCCAAGTGGTGTGTCCCTCAGTTCCCGCCTCTAGAGACCTACACAAGAGCCCCGAATCGCCACACTGTCCTCAGAGGCCAGACACACTGCAAAGCTTTTAGTGACACCTGGGTTTCCAACGCAGGACACGCCTCCTAGGTTAAGACGCTGGACTCAAAGCACAAGGTCCTCTCTGCTCCCTCCCCAAACCTGGCTGAAATGATAGCAAAGGGATAAATAAGGACCTGCACTTGGAGTCAGGGATGGAAGGGGGCTAGGGACAACACTTGGGGAGATGACAAGCAGGTGGGGAGCCCTAACTGTCCACCAGAAGCAAGTCTATTCCCCTCGCACAGCTCAGGAAGCCGGGGGTGGTTCCGTGGTGCCCTCGCTTTCCCTTCACAACTCTCCTTGGACCATTTGGACTGTGACACACCCTGGCTAACACATCCCATAACAATCCAACCAGACGCTAATATTTATGTTCCCACAAAGTGCTTCACTTCCACCAGGGAGCGGAGTCAGGCCTCCGAAGAACAGAAGGGGGATGAGTGAAGCTGGGGAAGCCACGGTGTGCGTCCTGCCTGCCAGCGTACGTGCCTGAGCGGCAGTGCCCTGCTGCCATTTGGGAAGGTAGGAAGACAGTCACACACACACACACAGACACACACACACACACACACATACACACACAGAGAGACACACACAGACACACACACAGACACACACAGATACACACACACAGAGACACACACAGACACACACTCACACACACAGACACACACACACACACACCAATAAAATGGCACTGTGCTCAGTTTCCCAAAAGATGCTAGAAATTCAGACTTCACTACCCCAAACTTTCAATGCTGATCCACTCGTTCAAGCTTGAAACACACTGCAGACCAAATACTCCTAGCCGCCTGGGATCCCCATGGGCGACCGACCCCCTCCTTATATCACCTTGCTGGATCCTGGCCTTCGTCCAAAGAGGGAGACAAAGTGTTCCTCGCCCATCACAGATGAGGAAGCTGAGGCAGACAGTGGGAAGTGGCCTCTCAGCCAGCTCGGGGCCTGGAACCCAGGAGTCCTGACTCCCAGTTCAGCTCTTTGGCTAGGAAAGTTCTGGATCCCGTCCCAGGAGTCAGCTACACACAGCACCCCTCGGGGTCTCCCAGCTTGGCGGCTGGGTCAGTGACCTCGGCTGCCGCCTCATCACCAGACGTGCCCACCTTTGCAAAAGGCCCCACAGAGGGAGCCCAGGTGGGAGCCTTCAGGAGCTCTGCCTGCACCACCCCGTTCCCTCCCCTCCACAAAGCATACAATAGAGATGCAAATGACTGAGCTGCTATGATTACAAGGATAACCTTGAGTTTGGCTCTATTTGAAAAAAAATAATAATAAAAGAAGAAAATCATCCACAAAACAGCAGTACTTACCTTTCCTGGGGGGATAACCTATTGCATTACTCGTTTGTATTCTCTCTCCCCTGGTCCAAGAAGGGAGCTTAGCTTCATTACCCCTCTTACTTTAGGGCCATGTGGGCTGTTGGGGCTGAAAGAAGCCCTGCTAGGCCGTTCTAAAGGGCAGCAGGAGGGCCTTCGAGCCTGGGGAGGGCTGGGTGGAGGGCTGGGTGGACGTGGTGAGACCACAGCTGAGCAGAAAGTTCCTCAGGCCCAGGAAGACCCTCTGCTATGGTGGCTTGGGGTTCCTCCCCTAGGTCTCCCCTTAAATGGACAGACAGCAGGACCCAGAGAGACTAATGCTTTGGGACCTCAGGAGGCTAGACCCAGGGCTCTAGAAGCCCCCAGAGAGCAGTGAGCAGATTGGCTAAGGCTGGGGTGGCCTGGGGAGTCCCCCCCAATCTTTGTTCCTTAGGAGCCTCTATGACCTTCACATGACCCTGATGGGGGGTGAGGTAGAGGGAAGGCTCCTCAATAATGATGAACTAAATTTTCCACCAGCTGGTGGCTAAGGTTTAGTCCTTTTCTTAATCAAAAGAAAATGAGGCAATGAGCCATTTCTTTCAAACCGAGCTTGCGAAATGAAATGCATAAACACGCTTCTATTATTAATCAGCAAATCACTTGCATTGTACCTCACAGCCTCCTGAAGATATCTTGCCTTTATCCATCCGTGCTATTTTTATTTTATTATATATGTATACATATCAAATATTTATCTTGTTGTCTTATTCTAAACGTATCGCACAGCCATGCCAGGCTGGGTGCTGGGGTTCAACAGTGAGCAAACTAACAAGAGCCCTGCCCCCCGTGACGCTCAATTTCTACTGGAAGGAGACAGATGTAGCAATTGTAAACTAAGAGGCGACACGATGTGTCATGGGTCAGATGGCGGGAATGCTGTGGGAAAAAGGAAAGGGAGGCAGGGGGACAGGTGTTTGGGGGGAGTAGGGGGTGCTACCCCACATGGGGTGGGCTTCTTCCTGAGAAGTGCGTCCAAGCAGGACACGAAGTGGGCGATGGGTGATGCGGGAGCAGGCGGATCCTGGGAGAGAACGCCCGGAGGAGGATCATCTGTTCCAATGGCCCTGGGCAAGAGTGTGGGGCTTCTTCTGGGGCTGGCAAGGTGCTGCGGGCAGCTGGGCTGGTGAGTCAGGGGCAGCTGGCAGGTGATGTGGCATCAGTTCAGAGAAGCAGTGCCCCTTCCTGTGGTCCCTCAAAGCCATCTAGGAGGGAGGTGGGCCCCATCTGCTGAGGACCACCCGGGAGTCTAGTGCTGGGCCCTTCCTGGGGCGCCCAGATTGCTCTCCTCCGCCTCCCACAGTGCTCTGCCCTCCCCAGGCCACATAAGGGGCAGTGGGTGGTCAGGGGACACCTCGCAGAGAAGGTGCTGGGACCTGCCCACCCAGGTCAGAGCGGAAAGGCCCGCCAGCTGGGACACCTTCTCAGCGGGATGAATGGGATCAATGACCAGTTCCACGTGTCCCTGCCCGTCCTGGCTCTTGACTCACTGGTGACTCACGATTTCCCTGTGAAGCATCAGATGCTAACATCCCTCCCCCCCGTCCAGAACCTCAGGGGGAAAGGGAAGTGGTATCATCCCCAGGGTTCGCCTATGGGGCCCTTCATTTGGGCAACAGAGAGGATGCTGAGTGAGGGCCTCCTGAGGGAGAAGAGGAACGGGCTACTCCTCAGGCTGGTCCCCACCTCTCCATCCCCAGAGGGGAAAGGAGGTGGGCAGAGCAAGTGGCAGGCCCTGTAGAGGGAGGGTCTACAGGCAGCAGAGGGCTGGCTTCTTTGAGAGACCCGGCCTGCGACCAGGGTGCTGGTGAGCAGACGAAGCCTCCCTTTCTAAGGCCTGTGGCTACTAGTAAGTGGCTAGGGCAGGGCCCAGGGGGAGTCCAGAGCTGGCAGTGTCAGGGTGGGGCAGGGAGGGTGCACACGGGGGCACACAGCCATGGGAAGGGTCCAGAGAGAGAAACTGGACAAGCTCCAGGCACTGCTCTGGGACCACCTCACCACCCCCTGCCTTTGCACCCCAGAGGAACCTGGGCCCCTCCCCCCAGGCCAACCTCCAAACAGTCCTGCTCCCTGGCCTGACATCCCAGACCTACAGTGCCTGCCCTGGGGGCCAGAGCCACATGTGTGGGCACCCAGACCATCCACTAATGCCAGGCCCCTTCCAGCTACTCTTTGTTAAATAGTCAGTCAACATCCATTTCAAGGAGGCGCACACACCAGCCTTCCAGCTCTCCTCTGGCGCTCGGGCCCCGAACTGTGATGTTACCTGGCTACTCACCACCCTGATTACTGTCTCCTCTGAAACCTACAAGGTTTACAGTCTACGCCACACAATTATGAATGTATTTGAACTGTCTTACATATTTTTCATATTTGTCTCTTTTAGTGTTCTGGAAGTTCCTCAAAGACATGAATCATACCTAATAATTCTTTAGTAGCATTCCCTCTTCCCGGACACAAAGCTGAATGCTCCTTGATGGTTAGAAAAAAGCTTTGGGACTCCCTTTGTATGCATCCATTCATTCAACAATTAATGTCAGGCACTGGGCTAGGTCCTGGGAATTCAGGGATGAATACAACATCTCTTACAAGGGTCTTACAAGCTGTGTGACCTTATACAAGTTACTCACCCTCTCTGAGTAAGTATCAAAAGAGGATGATCATATCTGTTTAATAGGATCATGGTGAGGATTAAATGAAATAATCCTCATTCAGGATTATCTGCTTAGGTCAGAGCCTGGCTCATAATCTCTTAGTGAATGTTAATAATTAATGTTATTACCTGGTGAATCCATCACCTGTATGTGTGTGTGTGTGGTAGGGGGAGGGGGGTCCCTACACATAGGATTAAGGGCTATATTAGAGAATTACTGGGTGAGAGATTATTAGATGAGAAGTGAACCGGCCTGGATAAGTCAAAGAGGAGAAGCCAGATCCTCTAAGAGGTAAACATTTCCAGAAAGTACAAATGGCAAAAAGAAAAAGACTAGAAAGAAATGGGCAAAGGAATAGAGTGAGAGGGCAGCACTGTGTCCCTGGGGGACGCTGGGGAAGGGACAGGAAGCTACTATCTACCACTAGTGCAGGCTGGACACACAGCAGGCCCGGGTCAGGACTAGAGTGAGCAAGCAAGGCTCCCAGGGCACAAACGAGGGCGGCACATCTCAGACTCGTGCAAGTGCAAGCATGTCAAACATGCGGCCCGCCGGCCACGGGCTTGGCATGCTTGACAGGGTCAGCACACAAGAGGGAGCCTCCTTCAGTTTTGTCCCCTTGGTGCCTTGCTGCCTCCCCCTCGTCCCAGCCCTGCAGTAGGTACTCGGTGAAAGCTTGCTCTGACCAGCAAAACTGTTGTTCGGACAGCACAGGACACACCCCAGGTGGCTGTCAGCTCAGCTCCTTCCTCCTCTCTAGGGCACCACCCCTCCGGACCCACCCCTGCATCCATCCTCTGTCCCCTGGTCCCCATCTTCAGGGCTGTGCCTGTTCCTCTGGGCCGTGGGACCGAAGTCTCTGTCCCTGGTCAGGGGACATTAGCTTGGCGAGGACAGCACTTGGAATACATACTTTGGACACAGCACCAAGTCAGGTTGTACTTTTCCTTGACCCAGTTTCTTAACCTCAAGTCTCAGGCCGCACCAGCTGCACGCAGGCAGCCCAGATGGGCACCCAGGAGGCGCAGGAGAGGAAGGTGGGGGAAGACGGCGCACAGGAGAGTCCACTCTGCAAAGGCGGGCAAACGCCCAGCTCTGCTCCTGGCCCTGTGCAGCCATACAGAAAGCAAGAGGGCAGCGCGCGGGAAGTGCACACAGAAAGCAAGAGGGCAGCGCTGGGCGGGAAGTGCTGAGTCCAGGCAGCACGGCACCAGGAAGCCGGAGCCGGAGGGACACTGTGGGCTGGGAACCAGAGGAGAAGCAGGACTGGACTGGCAGAGAGGCGACTGGGAAGGCACGGCAGTGGGGACACCGGGTGGGTCAAGGCACAGCCTCAGGACAGCCATGATGTGGGTCCGAGACCGACCCCTGGCTGCCAGCAGCGATGCTCTCCTTAAAGAGTGGGGCTCAGGCCCAGACTTCCAGGCCCAGACTGATCCCAGGAGTGAGACTTGTGTTTGGGGAGGAGGAGGGGATGAGCCACTTCCATTTCCTGCAACGTGGCAGATGGAAAACGCCTCGGTGGCAGGTGCCCCTTCAGGAATGAAGGATCCTTCCTCACCTGCCGGGGTGCAGGGAGCTGGCCCCCAGCTCTCGGGCCCCTCTGGGAACCTGGGAATCGTCTCAGGGGAGGAGAGTCAACTGGGCCAAGGTCACGCCCTCTTCCAGAGGCAGCCCGCATCCAGGGACTGAAAACTCAATACAGAGGCAGGAAGGCCTGGCTGCAGGGCTCCCTGTGGGGTGGCAGGGCCTTCGCGGGGACCGCACGTGGCTCAGTTTCTCCCTCGGCTCAGTCTCCCTTCTTAGGTGTAGATTCAAGAGCACATCTTACTAAGCATGCTGCTCGCATCTCGGGTTGAGGGTCTGCTTTCCAGGAACCCCCTCTGCACCATCCCCACTGAAATAACGATTAAAATGCGTATCAATGCCTTCCTAAACAGATGAATAATCTGGCAGGGAAAGAAGCAGTAGATGAGTTCTAAGCCAGAAGCTGCCTTAGGGATCTGCCAATCCCCATAATTCATGCCTTCCTTTTAAAGGCCATTATATTATTGTAACAAGCAAGTACTAACCCAATGGAAGCGGTCTCACTATATTATATTAGACAAAACATCTCAAAGCGCTACTAGAAATAAAGTCACTATATTACAATAAAAGATTCAGTTCATTAGGAGGACGATAGATCTAAACTAGTATGCATCTAAAAATATCACTCCAATCTGCATAATGTAAAAGCTGATAGGAGAAACTGATAAATCTACTATCACAGAGGAAGATTCCATCACACATCTTTTTAAAATTGATGGATCGAGCAGAACAAACAGAAAACATCAATAAGGATACAGAAGAATGACATTTTTTTTAAGTACACACAAAATAGTTATAAAAATCAACCACCTACTAGACCACAAAGCAAATCTCAATAAATTTTCAAGGATCAACATTATAAATACCATGTTGTCCTACAATGCATTTGGGTTCAAAATTCAAAACGATAAGTAAAGCCCTAGCCAAGGCTGCTCAGTGGTAGAGCATCAGTCTTCGGACCAAAGGGTCTCAGGTTCGATTCCGGTCAAGGGCATATACCTTGGTTTCAGGCTCCCAGGCCGCCTGGGCCCTGGTCAGGGCTCATGCAGGAGGCAACCAATCGATGTGTTTCTCTCACATCGATGTTTTCCCCCCCCCTCCCCCCCCCCCCCAAAAAAAAAAAAAAAAAAAAAAGATCAATGGAAAAATAACCTTGAGTGAGGATTAACAACAACAACAACAAAAAAGATACGTAAAAAAATAAAGTATTTGGAAATTTTAAAGCATTTCTAAACTTATGAGTGAAAATGATAATAAAAATTAGAAAATACTTGAAATTCAAAATAATGAAAGTACTTCTGGTAGTTACTATGTGTATGACCTTGAACAATTACTTAGCCTCACTGTGCCTTAGTTTCCTCACCTATAAAATGAGAGCAGTAATAGTATCTACTACTTGTTAGAATTCAGAATGGTAATATACAAAGCACAGGACCAGGATCTGACACAGAGTAATGCAATATAATTCAGAGTTGTTATCATCATCATCACCATCATCATCATCTCAAAATTGAATGGCTATAACTAGAGAACTACTTAGAGGAAATTGCATAACCTTACAAATTTACATTAGAAAATAATAAAGACTGGAACTTAAAGAGATAAGCATCCAACTTAAGAAGTTAGAAAAAGAACCTGGCTCAGGGTCAGGCTCCATGAAGTGCTAACCAATGGTGAGGCCAAGTGCTGCAGTGTGGGTAGGGCCACACATGGGAGAGGGGAGAGGAGGCCGTGCCACATCTCTGCACCTCTGCTGCCTCCTTCTTTAGTTCTGGATGTGCCCTACCCCAATCTTATCCTTCTCTCAAAGACCCACTCAGGTTCCACCTCCTCCAGGAAGCCTACCCTGACTACTTCAGTCCAGTGGTGCCTCCCTCCTCAGACATTTTAACACTTACTTCATAGCTGTCTCATGTGGTCATTTTGTTTCCCCAAAACAGAATTCAATCCCCCTGAACACCAAGACCACATCATTCTGGCGCCCTTCCAGAATCAGGCACATATAAGCTTTGCTTGCTTGGTTGGATTAACCAGGTCCCTGGAGTAAGGCCAGGGGAGGTGGTGCCTGAGACTTAAGGGCCTAGGGTCTCTGTGCGAGGGAGGATGAGAACAACTGGAATGCCCACTGAACCCCGAGCAGCTAGCCCATCCACTCAGGACCAGGGAGGGCTTGCCAGAGCAAGCAGCAGCGGTTGAGTTGACATTTGCCATGGTCACTGATATTCTTCCACTTTTGATAAGGCAGCAGGGATCCCTGCAGCCCCTCTGGTTCTGGGTAGGTGCCAGCAGGGGGCCGGAACCCAGAGCCACCCTGCTGAGGAACAAGTGCAGCAGGGGAGGGCTGCAGCAGGCTATGTGGGCCCCCCCCCCTCTTGAATACGGACATGGTTAGGGGGAGGAAGCAGGCCCAATGGGCTCCAACAAGCCAGGAAATTCTCGGAAAATGTCCTTTAAAGCCACAGCACCAAGTTCATTCACCGCCTTCCACCAGGAAGAACACTGCGGGTGACAGGCCAGAGCAAGGGCAGTCTGAAGCAAATGTCCAGACAAGGGCCCTCACACCCCCAGCTCTGGGACATGGAAGGAGGTAGCTGCCGGCTTCCTACTCTGAGCACCAGGGTCTCCCCAGCAACCTCACTCTCCCACTGTCTGAAGCAAATGTCCAGACAAGGGCCCTCACACCCCAGCCCTGGGACATGGAAGGAGGTGGCTGCCGGCTTCCTACTCTGAGCACCAGGGTCTCCGCAGCAACCTCACTCTCCCACGCCCAGGCTCGGCCCAGAATGGGGGGCACAAATGATGAAGGAGAACAACGGTTGTATTTGCAAGTTTAGGGAAGAAATGGGATGTTTACATAGCGAGAGAGGCGTTTTGTTTTCCAGCCCGGGGGGGGAGGGGCAGTGAGAGTGGGGAGACACTGGCAGCAAAGGGAAAACCTCCAGCAGAAAGAAGAGAGAGGTGGGCTCTTTGCAAAAGAGGTTCTGAGAGGAATGGTCTATCCGCGCTCTTCCAGGCCCGGACACCAGGCAGGTAACCCTAAGCTTTCCTCCTCAGCCGGCAGGGCAGAGCCGGCAAAGGAACCGAGGCTGGGCCCCAGTCTCCCAGTGACAAATCCTACTGCTCTTTCCCTTAATGGAGTTTGCTGGTGATGGGAGACGGAGAGGGGGGTGGGGGGTAAGAGCAGAGCCCAACGAAGCAAGAGTTAACTCCAGGGGCAGGTCTGACCTTGTGCGTAAGGATGAGAAAGGACCATCTGTTCAGAAGGGATCAGGCTGTGAGTTTCATAGATCCAGAGGTTTAATGAGTTCACTGTCCCTGTCGCATCACATCAGCCCACTATCACCCGAGGCTCCTTGGGGGGGGGGGGGCGAATATGCTTCTCTCCCAAGGGTCCCCACAAGTTCCGTACTCGCCAGGTAATCCACTCGGCTTTGAGCCTCCCTCTCCCAGGAGCCTCCCCTCCAACCGCATGGCATGGCACTGTAGATTTGGGGAACACCAATCGGGCCCCTGCGGCCGCTCAGGACAGTCAAATGGATTTATTGTCAGCGTGGCCACTCAGAATTCTAACCGGTCCCCCATTTTTCAGAACAGAACAAAGTTGTTGCGCCCCTCGGGCCGCGCTGGGCAGGCGCTCTCTTCTGGCTGGGAGGAGAGGTGCGCTGTGGAGCATCACCGTGGCCAAAACCTAATAACGCGGAGGGGCTCAGGGCTAAGTGCAAAACCCAGGGTCACGCACCCCCGGACGCCGGTTGGACACCCGGTTGGACGCCGCAGACGCCACCTGGGCTCACCCGCGGGCTCCACGCACTCGCACCCGCACGCGTACTTTCTCACCTCTTGATGTAGTTCCTGCCATATAAGATCTGTTGCAGCAAAGTCACCAAGGCGAAGGCGCAGATGAAGATGAAGAGCAAAGTTCGGTTCCCCAACAAATCCCTGTTCGCCGAGGGGTCCGC